CCGTTCTATTCCGTCACAAAGAGATGAATTAGAAAAAGAGGAGGATGGGAGTTTTTGTCGAGACTAAGAGGTGATAAGAGGGAGCACATGAATGATTCATGTATAATTTTTGGTTCCATGTACAATCATTGAAATTCAGCCATCTCAGTACTAAGATGTTCTATCTTAACAACCAAATTGGTCATTCAAGCTTCAACTTATTAATTTAAAATTATCTGAAATTCTGGAGATTAAATGCTAAAATTTGATTATAAATATCCAATAATAAATATCCAATAGTTAACACTTTAGATCAAATACAAGTCCTCATCTATAATGGATGAGTCTAAGAATTGTCATCATATCTTATATTATGTTTCTTGAAAACAAACTAATAAGTAAATTAAAAAAAGAAACTTAATAACTTAAAAAAAAACAAGAATTTTTTTTTAAAAAATCCAATATACTTCAAACTTCCAAACTTTACTATTCATGAGCTACTACACTCATTTTGTACTATTATTATTTGGAAATGTGTATTTTTAAAAAAATAAAAAACTTCATTTATTTTGGTTTGAGTTCAAAAAACACAATCTAAAAGAAAAATATTATTAGTTAAATATATTTATATAAAATAATAATTTTAAAAATTAAATATAATAGAAAAGAATCTCATCATCCTTTTCATATGAACAACAAACAAAATAAATTTATCCTTGTACAAGATAATAAAACCGTCAATCTTCTTGTTCTAATATTAAGATGATCCAATAAGTCATTAACTTTAAAAAAAATTTTAAAAAAACTATTGAATTAAATATCAAATAAAAAATATTGGATGTTATAATTTATTTTTATTCAATTTTATGCAACAACGATTTTTGTATGGGGTTTGTTTTAGGTGAATTGATGTATGCTAAATTTTGGGTATTTTTCATTAAATATTTGGTTTGTTTATTTGTTAATTCATTTTATTTCTCCTTTTCTGTTACTTAGTTTTTCAAATTATTTTGTGATTTTTTTATGATAGAATTTGTACCCTCATTTAAGGCAACTGACATAAGGGTGTTTGGTTGTGCAGGGTACTGCTCTTTGTGCTTTGTGTATTAATTTCATTTCACTTCTTCTTCTTCTTCTTCTTCAATTTAATTCATGGGTTTTCTTTCTTATTCCGATATCGTTCTTAATACACCAGCTACTACTCTTTGTTCTTTGCGTATTAATTTCACTTCTTCTTCTTCTTAGCATCATATCTAATGCAAAGATAATATCTGTATGCTTGTGATATATCTGTGAGATCTGCGACCAAAGAATCCAAAGGGACCAGAAACTCCAGATGCATAGGGGATGACACAAGGTGCCATGGAACTTACTAAGAAAAGAGACTCAGCAAATACCTTAAAAAATCACCATAATAGTGTAATAACTTAAGCAAGACTTAAAAATAATTTTAAAATACACAGACAAAAATTCTTAATTTTAAAATATCCTGAGTAAAAATTCTTTGAGCTTGAAAGTTATACAAGTTATGAATTTAGTTTGTACTTAATTTTTATCAAATAAATAAAAATAATAATATTCAAACTCGTGATCTTATCAAATAAATAAAAATAATAATATTCAAACTCATGATTGTTTAATTATCAAGATTTTAATACCATATTAAAAAATTATTTTAATTCAAAAATTTAAATTTTAAAATAAAATTTTAAGATATTTATCAAAAACAAAAAAAAAATTAAATCTCACTCTAGGTTATCTGGAAACTCTAGTTTTTCTATATAAAACATGTCCAAAACCTCAGGTTGCCCAGGACAAGCCACCAAGCTGGCCAGGTTTTACAACAATGGTTCTCTAAATCATAATAGAAACTGCACAGATACAGAAAATCTTGCACAAGGTAATGATTTATGCAGAGAACGCCGTGACATCATTCTAAAAAGGCGTTGGCTTCTGAAACGTAGGATCGTACTTCGCAATAGAAATTATTAAAGTATTATAATAGAATACAGAAGTTTAAAATTCAAGGGTTTCTAGCAAATTAGGCAAAGCTACTATTATCTACTCGGAACATGGAACATGGAACATGGAACTATGGACGGCATGGACAAGCCGGCCTTTAATAGCAGACGAAGTAGAGCCATGAGGGACTGGCAGGGGGGCCGCCATACTTCTGGATTGATGTTTGACAGTAGGTCCCAGATTCATCCTCTGGGTCACAGCATTGTAGCCACCAGGAACATGGGGGAGAAAGGGGCAGCTCTCATCGGATGGACAGCCAGCAGTGCAGCGATCCAAAGCATAACCAAAAAAAAAAAAGGTTCAGCAAGTCAATCCGCAAATAAATGATACTGCTTAAAAGTCCAAAAGTACATCTAGCAGCTGAATACAAGTAAAGCCTCCAACTATTATTCAATTAAAAAAGATTCAAATGCTCAACTACAATCTTATTCTTCTAACTATCAACTGCACATGATAACCACAAAGCAGCACACGACCACCCAAATGTCCTGGAACACCTCCAGCAGCACGTGGATTGTTGTGGGATGGAGCAAAATCCCTGCCAAGTTCCCACTCACCATGCGCAAAATGACTTTTATCACCAAATTTGCAACCTTCAGCACTACTGTATTTGTTACATAGCCGGCCTTTAACAGCAGACGAAGCAAAGCCATTAGGGACTGGCAGTGGGGCCGCCATACTTCTGGATGGTGGGGTGACAGTAGGTCCCAGATTCATCATCTGGGCCACAGTATTGTAGCCACCAGGAACATGGTGGAGAAAGTGGCAGCTCTCACCAAATGGACAGCCAGCAGTGCAGCGATCCAAAGCATAACCAAAAAAAGAAAAAAAGGTTCAGTAAGTCAATCCACCATGTGCAGATAAATGATACTGCTTAAAAGTCCAAAAGTACATCTAGCAGCTGAATACTAATCAAATAATTAAGGCCTACAACTACCCCTACAACTACCATTCAATTAAAAAAGAATGAAATGCTCAACTACAATCTTATTCTTCTAACTATCACTGCACATGATAACCACAAAGCAATTGACTTTGATAAAAATGCAGATTCACATGATGAATTCTGTATAACATCATCTCCAAATATTGGGAATCAAAACAGAATAGGCTACCACCTAGAAAAATGAAATACTGAATCAAAATTCTTTTAGGACCAGAAATAAGGAACACAGCTGAAGTGATGTTAAACTAAGTCAACGAGTCTCCAAACTGGAATACCTTCATCACAGATTAGAAGATAGCATAGCATAAACTTCAGTGACATGGATGACAATATGGCACTCACAAATTGATACAATTCTAGATAATTGAACTTGCTGCTACAGTAATACAAGCCTGTGCCAGCAAATCCATTATTCTAAATTTTTGACACCATACTGAAAGTTTAACTTACTTCAACATAATCTAATTTATTTAATAGGAAGTTGTGTTCAATCCAGAACCAATAAACTTTAAATGGAAAAAATAACATTAAATGTTATCGTTGTTAAAGTAACAAGGAAAGCCAGCGGACATTCCTCGGGTATAAAAATAAAATCAATATCCAGAAAAAAGAGAGTCTTGCATCAACTGTTTTCCAGCAAGCAATTATCTTTTTTTGTAGTTCATAAGTAAAACAAAGTCTACAATGAAATTCCATTAATAAACTTTGTTTAAACAAAGCACAGTTATGACTAAGTAACTGTATAACAGCTAGAATACCCACTTCATTAGCACAGCACACAACTCAAATTGTGGGGAAAAAATTACAGTAACTTTTAAATATTAAAAGATGAAAGATGAAATTCAAGATACTTATTTAGGTGAGAAAATTTGAACCTGAAAAACTTGGTGCATGGCTTCAATTTGCTTCCTACAACAGTTGATAAGGGGTCCATTTCTGTTACAAACATTAATTACTAGTTCTCAGTTAAAATTTCTCCAGATTCTTAATCTACTTATTCTAAAATATTCCCAAGTTTAATACCAGTAGGACTCGCTACAAAACACCTAAGTTTTTTAGAATAAAATTGTCTAACTAATATAGAATGTTTGGTGCGTAATATAGATGTACATTGACAAGTACATTCCAGCAAATTTTTCTCACCCTTATCTAGCATCCACTCATGTGGTAACCCTGTTTTTGTACTTCACAAATGAACTGAAGTCTCCAATGAAGTTTATGGGTGTTTTTGTTTTGTTGAGATTTTCACTTAGTTCAGGGCATGTTTAATTGAGGTGGAGTTAAATGCTGGGAGATGATTTGATTTTTGTTTGGTCAAATGCATTTATACTTGAGGCTGTTTGATGTTAGTTATGTCTAGAGGAGAAACCAGAAATCTCTCTCAAAGCCATTGAAGGATGCTTGGGTTAATTCTATAAAATATGTTACTCAAACAAAGGACAATCCTTTGACGATGAGTAACAGTTCTTGAGCTTGGGGGATAATTTAATTTGAGTGTTTGTATGGTTTTAAGTGTTTTATTTGCTGCCTTTTCACCCTATATATGAATGCTACATTATCGGTGCTTTAAGTATAACTTGTAACACAGATAAAGTTTCTCCAGGCTAAGATTTTGCATGTTCAACGACAGTTTAAAAATTGGATTTCTCAAGGACGCCAACCAATGAGGTAGTTTCTGGAACTATTATGCCAATATTCAAGCAGCAGCAGCAGAAGAGGTGGGATAAGCAAGAAAATCATAACCACAATCAAAGCTAATGCGGGTAATTCCTGACTCTACAGTCCTACCAGTGAAACAGCAGCAAAGGTTTGACAATACAAGCAGGCAAAATCAAAACTACAGCCAACGTAAAAAAAAAGCCTAACCGGCTAACCCCCAAAACAACATAATTTAAACATTCTAACAGCAATACAGAAGCATAAATTATGTTTTTTTTTAAAAAAAAAAAAAAGAACAAAACAGTAAAGATAACAATCAACCAGTCTTTCCACGGAATAAAAGCTTCATTATTGGCATTGAACCCAATTTTAAAACACGCAAATGATTGAGAATTTAGCCTTGGAAACCAAACAGACACATAAAGAACACTTGAGGCTAAATTCTCCCTTAAAACACCGTGCAAGCTAACAAATTCTTAAAAGCCAAGACGCATAAATCCACAAAAAGTTAAAAACATACTTAAAGCATAAACAAATCAGTAAAACACCAAAAGAAAACCAAACAACATGAAAAGCCCAGATACCAGTTGAAGAAATTAACTGGCTAAATCTTGAGACTAAGAGAAATAGTTGACCTTGCTTAGATTTCTTCAATCCACCAAAGCCATTAGTTTTGAAGTCAGGCCTCCCTCTCTTTCTTCTATCCATCATCGATTTAAATCCTGGATGCAAATAAAAACAATCGCGATGGAATAAAGAATGGAAAAAACTGATTCTGGTAACAGAATAAAGAACAGAAGCCAAAACCGTGACCCTGGAGAAGGGTTTCTTTCTAGGGGAGTAGGTTAAGCTGATAGGGGTCGCAAAGAGAGATGGAGAAGCGGAGGGTGAGAAGCACTGACAGCTCTGCTGTCAAGGGTGAAGATTATCCATCGATAATTATATCCTATTCATTTAGATCTCTCTACATTATCAATAGTTTTATTACAATTTATCAGTTTGTTTTAAAAGTATGGTAAAGATTATTTATATTAGACATGACATAGCTAATGCGTCGCTTTTTGTATTTGTATAATGATGAATTATATAAAACACCCTTCTTTTTTGCTCAAGCAATAGTACCGCAGTGAACTTTAGGGTTATGAATTACTAGTACAAGGTAGATTTCAACTTCTTCTGCAAATCTTTGCGAGTTAGAAATTACTTTTGGGAGGGTACATGAACAGGTTTATGTTTCAATATACGGCCTTGCCATGTTTCTGCTTTGAATGCATATGATCTTTGCAATCTTGCAGAGACTATTCTGAGATTTAACTGCACAAAATGGCTACAGCTGCAACTCCTGCAACAAACATTGTAATGATCAGGCCTTGCGTATCTTCTTCTCGAATAGTATTCATGCCAAGTGCAGCTGGTTTCAGTACTGAACATGGAGAGGCATCTTGGAATAGGCTTATGAGCTACTCTCGCATCTCATCAAGGCAACCATTTTTCCAGAGCATTTTTTCAGCACCAATGAAATTTAAGAAGGTTGTTACAATGTCTGCAGCAAACGAGGACAGGCCTCTGCCAGGATCGCCTGTTGATTTAAGAGGTCACGCATCTCTTTTATTCCCTTCAGTTTCTAGGGCTGACTGCATAATTTGTTCATTTCAGGGAAAAAAACAAACCTCCCTCAAGCGTGCACAGATCCATCCTTGAGGATATTTACCCACATAAGACTATCCCCGGATTTAACAGGTTCTTCCTCAGAAGGAGAGATGCATAAACAAGAAGAAGGAAAACAACAAAAAGAAAATCCAACAAGTTTTAAGTGTTTCAAGTCAGGTGGTGTTTTGTTTTTTTTGTCTCTAAAAATGCAGGTATATGTATAGGCTTGTAGCCCACAACAGCACAAAAATAAATAAATATGAGAATTAAAGTCTACGACAGTTAAATGATACAATTAAGGTGTTGTTTTGAAATGGGTTGTTGTGACGACAGTTTTTCAAAAAATAATTGTTAGAAATGTTAAATAGCGTTTATGAAATATATATACCTGCTAGAAAATTAATTTCAAAAATTTTAAAAACTGCAATGTTAGTTTGAAGGCCCAAAATAAAAGTTTAAAGGCCCAAAATAAATTATCATTGAATATAAAAAATTTAAAAAGTATAAACATGTAAATAAATAATTAAAAATTGTCTCTTGCATGAGGTAATATTACGTGGGTAAGCCTATCACCTTATCTTTTGTTAGTTATTAATTTATATTAAAATTTATTATATAAATATTAAAATATTTTATTTTTTTAATGTGGGATTAGAAATCTATTAATACATATAATCTATATTCATAATAAAAAAATTATGTTTTTTCAATATAAGATAAAAAAATTTAAAATAATCTCTCAAATTTTATTTTTACAACAATCTCTCATATATTTCAAGAGATTTGTTTTTTAATAAGAATATGGATTTCTATCTATTCTAGTACTTTTTAGATTATAAGTCAAATAATGGAAAGAATGAGATTTAATGTACATAATTATTGGTGAAGTTTTTAAATTTTATAAATAAAAAATCCTTGTTGTAAGTTACGTATTTCATCAATCAAATTATATATTTATATTTTTTTGTTATTTAACCCAATCTTACTTTAATAAGTTATGTGTGTGCCCATTTATTTATGAGTGCTATAAAAATTTGCTAGTATCTATTAGAAATGATTCCACTCCACACTCGTATAAGTAATTCTAGTAATTCTAGTATCTAATAGAAATGACTCCACTCCTCATTCATATAGATATTTCCATTAAGTATTCATTCAAATTTGAACACTATCTATAAAAAATATAAAATTTATCAAAAGCTTTTTAGTCACAATCTCTTTAATTGCAAACTAGTATTATCCTCACATAATAGGAAATGACTTGTTTTATAGTGCTATAGACAACAAATGACTTTGTTATTACTTATATAAATCTAATTTATGGGATCTCTAATCACATATGTTAGGTTACTTTGATTTCTTTATTAACATTAGTATTATTCCTGTTGATATTTTTAATATCATTTTTCTACTAATTAGTTTAGTTAGAGGATCAACCATATTTATTTGTTACTTCACATAATCAATTGAAATAATTCCATCTTTTAGTGGTTGTTTTATAACATTATGTCTTAATCAAATATGTTGATTTTTATAATTAAAGGATTTATTCTTAGTGGTGGCTATTGTTATTTGGCAATCACAATGCATTGCTATATAATGTGTCAGTTACACTCGTACTGGAATTTTAGTTAAAAAATTCCTCAACCAATCAGCTTCATTTCCTACTAATTCTAAAGCTATAAATTTTAACTTCATGATAAATTGAACTCTTAAACTTTGCTTGAATGATTTTCAAAACACTGCATCACTATCAAGAATAAAAATATAGTCATTAATGGATTAAATCTCATTTGAATATGGAATCTAGTTAGCATCGATATATCATTCTAATAGAGCAAGAAATCCATTATACAAAATATCATAGTTCATGATATCTTTCAAATATTTTATCAGTTAAACTATTGTTACTTAATGCTTATGATTGAAATTTTGTGTATGTCTACGTAATCTACATATAACGTATGCTATGTTAAGTCAAGTGAAGTTAAATGAAGGTATCAGACTCCTAATAATCTGAGTATACTCAATCTAAGCAAACAACTTTACCTTTATGTTTCTTTAATTAAGTATTAACATTATAAGCAATACTCACAAATGTCACATTAAAGTGACCAAATTTCTTGAAAAGTTTCTCTACATAATATTCTTATGTTAATATTATATCATTGTCTCTCTTTATAATTTTAATACCTAATATTACACTAGTTTAAGAAATGTTTTTTCATATGCATAACATTCATGTTAGTACAAAAAATAAGCATATCATCTATATAGACATATTATCTATATATAAACTAATAATCATATATTAATTATCAATAGACTTAGCATACACATATTTATCCATTCTAACTGAAGAAAAACCATCACTCAAAACAACTCCATCAAATTTCTCATGCCAGTATTTAGGAGCTTGCTTTAAGCAATATAATGACTTTATTTTTTTGTTCAGGAAGTAAACAACCTTCAAGTTATAACATATACATCTCTTCTTCTATATCATTATTTAGAAAAACAGTTTTAATATCCATTTGATGTATATAAAGGTTATAAATTGAAAGCTAAAATAATTAAAACTCAAATTGAGCAAATTCTACTTATAGGTAAAAATGTATCAAAATAATTCATATTTTGTTTTTAAGTAAAATCCTTTTACAACCAATCTTATTTTGTATTTATCTATATAACCATTAAGAAAATATTTTCTTTTAAAAATCCATTTGCAACCAAAAGATTTTGCATTTTAGGGCAAATCAATAATCTCTAAAGTTTGATTTTATATAAGCAAATCAATTTAAACTTTAATTGTTTTTTTTAAACCAGAATAAAAAAAAGAGATAGCTTCAAAGAAGGTCACTGAATTTTTATATACCAAATAAGTGATAAATCATTTTCAAATGAAATTTCTTTTCTTTGTCTTATAGTCGTTTCTTTCTCAATGTGAGTTTCATCAATTCTATTATCATTAATAGGTGCATAACAAATCTTTTCTCTTAATGGATAAATGTGTTTAAGGAATTCTAGAGCTTTTGTTTTAATAATAGTATTGCAATCTAACACATCACTTTTTAATACTAAAAATCTCTATGCAACATTATTTTCAACATAACCAATAACTAATAAATATACAATTATAAGCTTATAAACCTATCATTCTCTTTTTTGGTTCAGGTAATATAACATTGGCTAGACTCCCCTATACTTTTAGATATTTTAAATTAGAATAATAACCACTTTCTAATTTATAAAGTGTTATACCAATTTTTTATAAGAAAATATATTTTGTAAATGACATGTAGATAAAATAGTTTCACTCCATTAATTATTAGATGTTAAAGAACTAACTAACATAACATTCATCATTTCTTTTAAAGTTTTATTTTTTTCTTTTAACTATCCTATTAGACTCAAATGAGTGAATAAGGTGGAGTAACTTCATGTATTATACCTTTCTTTTCATAATAGTCATTTATAAAAGAAATATCTACCTTTTTATCATATCTAACTTGTTTGATTTTTTTATTTTAGTTGATTTTGTTTTACTTTTGTTTTATATAATAAAACATGTTATAAGATTTATCCTTAATTCTAAACAGAAAAAAATTTGTATATCTTGAAAAATCATATATGTAGGTCATATACTATTTTCTATCTCATTTAGTCATAATTTATTTTAAATCACCCAAGTTTGTGTGTATTAAGCTAAGTAATTTAATTTTTCTTTTAAGAGGTGCATATGTTTTCTTGGTAATTTTAGCCTTGACACATATTTCATATTTATTCATAAATGAAAAGTTTAAATCATAAATTAACCCAAGATAATTCATTTTCTTAAGATAAGATAAAGTAACATATCCTACTTAGTTCATGGTTACAATATTCTTTCCCCACAAATAATTATTCTTACATTATTCTTAGTCATTACAATCTTATCATATTCAAATGACACTTTTGTTGTTATCTACTTTTGACACTATAAAAAAATCAAGAAAAAAAAAAGATTTAAAATATAAAAGGATATACATGAAGAAAGCGTTAAAGATTATCCAAGTTAGTAGTGAAGGACCAAAATGACAACTTAAAAAGTTAGAGCACAAAAATGTATAAATTTGATAAAATTAGCAGTCCAATTCTAATTGACAAAGGGCCTATTTAGTGAAAATATTTTTATTTGGAGTATAGAAATACAAATCTAGATAGGTAAGGACTTAATAAGAATTCTGGAAGGCTTAATTAATTTTATTAAGGATTTAATTGCAAGAAGAATTGATATTTGAAGTCAATTTAAGCTTTGATTGGAAGAATTT